TCCATGTCTTTGAGAATGAGAATGACTGAAAATGACACTCAAACACAACACCACTGTCGGACCCGACCCCTGCAACACAGCAACAGACTACTCCATCCATTACCGAGTATTGCCATCTTCATCTCCTCTTTTCACTCTCTCTCTCTGTCTCCTTCATGCTTTCCCCCCGCCCAGCCTGGACACTCTCCGAGTCCAACCTTGTCCTCCACCGGCCTAGATGCAGTGCAGCGCAGCATCCGTCCAGTGTGCATGTGTGTGTGCTGCCGCCTTTCATCGCCTACCGGACTGCAGCCTGGCCGTCAATCTGTGTGTGTTTGGCCTCTTCCAGCTCCGTCAAATCTCCTTGCTGCGGCCCAGCCCAGCTGATCCCTTACCGGTGCGCCCATCTCTCCTGTGCTGGTGTGCTGGTGCCAGCCTACAGCCTACCGCATACACTCACCTCTCTCCCAAGCCGTCCCGTCGTAAAGAGCTCCCGTTGAAACTGAGGCGCCCAGTATCTGTAAACGGAGAGGGGAACGAGGCGTTGCTCTTGGCTTGCTCCGTTTAAACCAAAAGGTCATCAGGCACCTTCTCGACCACCCACTTGTCTCTTGTGTCTGCGGACTGCTGCCGTTCTCTCTCTCTCTTTCACACACACACACTCTCTCTCTCTCTCTCTCTCTCTCGCTCTATCTCTGCCCTATGGTCCCTTCACCCCCCCCCCCCCACACCCCCTTTCACTTTACTATTAACACGCCCGTATCCTCAACCCTCTCCTCTCTCTCTCTCTCTCTCTCTCTCTCTCTCTGTCTCTATGTCTAGGTCTGTTTCTTCCTCGCTCTCTTGCCCCTCCCCCCCTCCTTATTCCTTCCCATGCGCCCCCATCTCCATCCCTAGGCATCGTGGTATCCTACCTTGCCTGAGATGGGTAATTCGTAGGCTTCCTCACTTCACCCACACCACATCACACCCCCCTTCCACACAGCCGCACGCCCTCCCCCTGCCTCCCCTCCTCGTCTTCTGGCGTAAGGCACGGTACCTGTACGAATACCCTTCATCTGCTTGCACGTCTCTCTTGCTGCGATACCTTGTACTAGTGTAGGGTCGCCAGGCTATGTGGAACCTATCTACATAGTTACAACTCCACGCCCTGCGAGGCACCCCTGCTTGTACTTGGTGGTCCTTCGCACTCACGCCGCCAGCCCTGTCGTTGCTGCCAGCCATGTCATTGCTCCCGGCTTGCTGGGCGGTTCGGGCTGAGCTCCTGTGAAGCCTTTGGGCTACTTTTTATTTAATAGCTTGCTCTCCCCTTCCTCTGCCACATCTTGCCTCATCATCCAGACTTCCAACAATCTAGACTTGATATAAGTTGCGACTTGTCAACTATCACCAAGCTTCCTCTTCTACATCTTGAACCAACATCCCCCCCATAATCCTCTTACACCAAGAAGCGCGACAACACCACAGCCCGCTCACAATGTCAATGTTCACCATGTCCCAACATCACCAATACGCCTACCCGGCAACAGCTCCCGCTCCCAGAGCATACTCTGGACACGGAACCAGCAGCGCCTTCAGCAGCTCCGCCAACCCTGATGAAGACTGGACCAAGATCTCCGACCTCGCTGAGCGCAGGAGGATCCAGAACCGCATTGCCCAGCGCAACTACCGTACGTCAAAGTCATAGCCACCCAACGATACCAGCACGCAAATACTAACACCGACTTACAGGCAAGAAGCTCAAGAGACGCCTTGAGGACCTCGAGAGACGCGCTGGCCAGGAAGGCACATCCCCCACCGAGAAGCCCGCGGCAACCAAGAGCACCAAAAGCAAAGCGGCGGGCAAGACACAAAAGACGCCCCCACCAACAAAGACCATGAACCAGGGCCAATTCACTCCTCCTATGAACAACGACGACGAGGTCTTCTTCGCACAACAGCACTACGAGGACGACCGCGGGAGATCCATCACTCCTCCGTTCCTCACATACTCAACCTACCCCCCGGCTGAAGAGATGATCATGGCTCCCGCATACACCACACAACCGTACCCCATGTCTGCCGCCGAGTATCCCACATATCTCGCCGCAACGGTACCGGTCACGCTACCGCCCATGAACCACTTCCAAGACGCCATCAAGCGCGAATCGTACCACAGCGACGACGGTCTTTCTCCCTACATGAACTACGCGTACATGCCCAGCATGGACATGAACGCGCAAAACTCCTACGACCCCACGAACCCTCATGTGAGTTATATGCGACAACCGCCTTCCCGCGATACATGATGCTGATGGGTTGATGAGCAGACTCCTCCGCTCTCACACTCGTTTGACCACTCGGCCAACTGTTCCGACGCCGGCTACGAGTATCCCACAACACCACTCTCCATGCCGGGATCTCCTGGCATGATCCAGCAATAGAGAGCGCAGCGCGAAGGAGGAGGAAAAACGAATATGCAACATCCCTGTCTATCGGAGCGTAGCATTTCTGGCGACCACAATTTGGGTTTCCATCACCACTTGGTTCTTTTTCATCCACGACCCCCCTTTTTTTCCTTTTGCACATGTTCAGCGTGGCTTTGGCCAGGAGTTCGGGGGCGTACGGATCGCATGTATTGGTCGAAGCGCTCGACCTCACGGAGATATGACTGGGAATAGGCGACGGCGTTTCACTTTGGGCAGACTGATCACATCGAGGGTCGTCTTGTTACGAGGTTTGATACGGCAGTCCAAAATTTAAAAGACGAGATTGTCCCAAACATTCTTTGTACTACTATAGAGAGCAACCTCAAAAAGTAACACGATATCAATCACATGAGTGGAGCATCCGCCTTGACTGTTGTGAGGTGTTCGTGCTTGGAAAGGTGTCCGATGACGAGATGGTCGTTGGTATGGGGGCCGAAAGGGCGGCAGCAATAGGACGGGACAGCCTGGTAACGAGAAACAGCAAGTTCCAGCCCGCCGTGGACGACTATACGTATCGTAGGATTATACGAAGCGTGCAGGGAAGGCGGAGTTAAACATCAGTCTGGCCGAGGGCGGGTGCGGAGAAAATAGCTTAAAGTTTCTTAACTCCTAGTATTCGTGTGGACTCGGGACAAAGCTCGAGACTCGAGATACAAACTACAAGTCTTGGCCAAGGTCAAGGCAGCTGACAAAGCACTTTGAGGAGCAGACCTTTTGGGGTTGAGGATGAGGGTGGTGCTGGGTTATTCGTAGCATGCGTAGAGACTAAGACACGTCCATGGGGGAAGAGGCAGACAGGAACTTAGACACCATGCTTCAGGATTTTTACCGAACTGTGGGAGGAATTGTTTCCATGATACCTCACTTCTGAAGAAGACGGTGATTGTCGATAAATGGAAAGACCGGGATTCCAGCAATCCTGAGCAAAGCAGCACACTAGAGATGAACGATGTTGCGGTACCACCCACGAATGAGCCTCTGCCGCAAGCGAGTACTCGACAGGGATCAGAGACCAAGACAACTGGAGAGAGCGGAATGGGGGGAACGAGGGGCGGAAAGCATATACGCGAGAATACCTATCGTCCCTCCGTTTTCTTCAACATAACGCGCAACATAACGCACAACAAGGCTCCCCAAAAGTACCTGAAACAAGATTACGAAGACATCAGGAAGATTCACGAGCAAACAACGTAGAAACCAGTGCAGCCTGGTAGAATAAATACCCACGTGATTTCGCGGAATAAGAGGGAATCTGTGCCTTGGACAAATTCCCGACGGGCGGATGTTCGCCCGTAGCCCGGTCGGATCTTGTGAATCTTCGTCATATGCCTTTACGTGTCTTGGGGCCGGACGCCGTGGCGGTGGAACGGCTTTGGTAGTCGTGGCCTTCAGCCAAAAGTCCCAAAAGATAGCACTTTCTGAGGATTGTCTGTAGATAACTCATATAGGGTACATTGGGTCGGGATAGGAAGAAGGGGAGGGTGGAAGGGCGCTTTCAGAAGCATGCCTTACACGGCAAAGTCCGAACAGCCTGCCGCCGCCTTTTACTTGCCCCCTTCTATGAGGAGCATGAGAGGAGAGTTCTTACACATGACAAATGGAGCGGGAATACGGCGTGTCAAGCGCATGAAATGGGTGTCTGGACGGATATTACGAAGACGATACGGATAATTCGTACACGGCGGCAGGGCAGAGCCGGGCGTCGAGAAGGTCTCAATACATCATGTCAAAAGGGAACTTTGGCTGCTGTTGCAGGGCATTCGCAAGGTGTGGCATGGCATGGGATCAACGCCTTCATGGGTCGATGATGGTTGGGCGGACGGTCCGGGGATGGCATTCGGATGGCCCAAGGGAAGTACGGGATTTGAACCGCTTCGCTTGTCACCCTTCCCTACTGCTGCGAGCTGCGTTTATTTCTCGATTAGGGAAGCATGGCCATTGTCGTACAAAGAGAGAGAGGCCGACCCGCCCCAGGGTTATCACTCGGGCTCTGGGCCAAGGTGACACAGGGAGGATTCGAGTCGGCTGTCAGGTTGCGTACTGCTCTTGTCACCCCCCCCCCCCTCCCGCAAGCGCAGAAAAAGGACCAAGCATTAGGAGAAGAGGGGAGGGGAGAGAAGCAAGACTGACTGATAGCGCGTGCAAGAGTTGCCGGCGACCGCATGATGTGTCACCAACGACTTTCATCCTTACCGGTTTGCCAAGGGGGGACGGCCGCGAGTTCGGTTTGGTGACACAGCATTCGAACGTAGACGCAGAAGGGGAACTGACCTGCACGTATTGGAGGCGCTTTGCCGCGAAACCCTGGAACGTCGGTCGAAGAGGAGGAGTAGGGGGTGTGGGGTGTAATTGGGGGAGCCCAAACGGTCGGTCGGTTCAGTCAGTCTGGGGTAAAGATTGTTGATGAGGCCATGCTCCCCTTGGCACTGATTGACTACAAGAGATTGGGGAACTTATGGGAGGCGTTTCTAAACTTTACCACGGCCAGTCTCCAAAAGCTTAGCAACTTTTGGGCTAGTTTCTACTACCAGTCTTGTATCCGAACGCCTACGGATGTTGTTCAACTGGGGGAAGTCGCCGGAAAGTCGCCGAGGGCGGCAGAACGCCATCTTTTTGGAGGGAGGAGGAAGACAGCCGAGTGGGAGGGGAGTGCGGGATAAGGAGACAGAGAGGCTCGAGGGTGGCCGTGAAAGAGACGGGAGAGAGAGATCCCGGGGGGGCGTGTGCCGTGTGCGAGCTTGTCTTCCGGAGTTAAGCCCCGACTGCTTTCTGCCAACCCGTGCCATCACTGCCGTGTCAAGTCGTGCGATAGTAGAGCCTCCTCTTCTTAGTAAGGATTCCATCCGAAGTGCGAGCATCTCAGGATAGGGAAGTTAATCTGTGGGCCGAGATGGGGCGGGGACAGTTCACTTTCACCGGACAACAATCCATGGTACTCGCGTTAGTCTGGAAGTCGCGAGATATTCTTCTGAGTTGTACAACCCATCAGCATGATAGGAGTTGTTCTGTAATAATGCCATGTACCTAAGGTACGCAGTGCCGGCAAATGTGCATAATAATGCCGCTAGAGGTCTCACTTTCGCGTGTCCTTTAAATAGAGTCGCGGCCTTTGGAGGAACAAAACACTTTCCCACCACCTCATCTTATGTCTCTGCCCTCTCTCTCTCTCTCCCTCTCCCTCTCTTCGAACCAAAAACAGGTAGCGCTATTACTAGTAACTGTGAACCGTGACGCTGCGCACGGCCTAGGCTGGTACGACAGGTTGCATATGTCGGCGAGATTTTGAAAGGTGCCGAAGTTACGGAGTAGACTCTTGCAATTCGTCGCTATGATGATGGCTGCCGAAATATCCATAACTCAGATTGAACATTTTCCGGTACTTACCTTTAGGCTCCAGTGGTCCCAAAGGATCATCCGACAAATGGAAGAACGGTGGGATGTGCAGGCTTTCCTTCTGTACTCCGTAGGTGGAAACGGAATCGGGACCGGGGCCGGAATAAGATCGGACGGAGTTAGGGGCCGTTCAACAACAGAAGGCATTACCCCAAAGTTTCTTCCATCGATACAATGCTCAACCATATTCAACCACGTCTGCGCAGCCAAGTCCCAAGTCTTGGATCAAGGTTCCTTGAAAAGAGTAGACAAATACTTGGAGTGTGTTTGTTGTATACTTGATGAACTGTTGACTAGTGGATAAATCATGCGACTGAATAGGCACGTTCTAGACCTCCAGCCTACTCCAATATTCAACCCGATTTTGTCCCTTTACTTCGTCTCAAAACTCATCGGGGAGATCTGGAACCGTCGTCATCCCGTCTCAGTCGGCTTCAGCCATGAACCATATTAGGCCGTCAAAAGGCCTTGCCCGCCTCCCCGTCTTACTAAGTCACGAGTCTTTAGAACCGCCATCTTCCTGGTTACACACTCGGGGCCGATCCGGCAGAAGACGGGGGCACAAGACCGGCCCCCGTCAGCTCGAACGCCCGTCCCCATAATCCCGTCACTGCGCTAAAACAACATCCGTCCACGGTCATTTCATGCCTTCTCCAAGGGCGCAATCAAGACAAGCTCTTGGGATCTGCTTACAACATTAGGGGTGGTCGGGGAGCTGCAGAATACAGAGAAGAAAATGGTTAGTGATTAGTGATGAACATACACCACACCACTCAGGTGCAGCTCTCCCCACAACCATCAATGTCAATATCCATCAGCAACAAGGAACACCCCTTACGTTGCCTTACCTGGTCGTGTCTACCAAGTCAAATGCGAGCCGGATCATCCCAAACAGACATCGTAACGCCCCGCACCGAGGCGATGAATCGTGAAAATTAAGACGATGAGAAAGTGGTGTCGCTCATCCGAATCCGTCGAGGCGAGCATTAAGTTAAGCCTCAGCTATTTTCGAGTTTAGCCCACGCTAGGCTCTCAAGGACATATGAGCTTGAGCCCGGCGTGCCGTCTTGAGGCTAAAGCTGCCTTTGGAACATTGACACAACACACGCAGACAAACTGAGGGCCTTGTGGCTCAACCTAAGATTGATCTCATTCGTCATTGCATTTTACACTTGAGTTTCGCGCTCGCCTTCGCGACCTCGCCCAGCTCGCCCCTCGGTGTCGCTCGCGCTGAGCCGCACCATTTCAACTTCAGCAAACCATCGTCTATGTAGTGAAGTTTCAATTGCATTCTAAAGTTAACCTTCTCGCGTGACATAGCGTGTAAAACCGTTCTTAGCCGTGAAGCAAAACCCGTTCAACCATCTCCAACGGGTAAGCAATCCTGTCAATTGGCTGGCTCGAAGATTGACACCATTTGCCCTAGCGTTTCTCGGCCTTCCTTCTCGGCTCCTTGGCGGAACAGGCCGTGATGATCTCCACAGTCTGAGTCTTGATTCAAACGTTCTGACAAACCGCCTTTTTCCAAATGCATAGGCTTAGCTTCGTAGTGCTTCGGGGTAATTTGAGACAATGACACAGCGATCGAGATGCCACTCCCACCTCCAAGGACGACTATGTACGTCCTTTTGCCAATTACGGAGCCGAACCCATATGGATTCAATCGATCCTAGGCAGCAATTAGAAGTAAATAGGGAGGCACTGGTGCTTTATTTGAACTAAGGTATGCGCTGTGATGTGAAGGAGGGAGGATGAACATCACAGCCGTTGTACAGCCACAATTCAGGACGTCTGTGGGAGCTTAGGTAACTAGATTGCTGAGCCACAATAGCTACCAGGACCCATTCTGGTGGGGCCATGCTGCACGCCTCTGCCCACTCATCCTATTGGCCAGGATTTATGTGGGAGCTCACCAGCCTCGCGAACGCTCAGATGAGGTCGTCATGATCCTTCGCGCTCTTCGACGACTATTGTCCACCGTCGACCGGTCACGACACAGCCCTATTTTGGAGCCAATTCCGTCCCTAACGCCAAATAATTGAAATTCGTCACTGGTTTTTGGCCCGTTTTCTGCCAATTGACCAGCTCGAATCTTCGTGCCATCAGTTCTGTTCCGAACCCACGCCTCAGTGCAACTGCCGATATAGCCACAGCTTTGCCAACCGGCCAAAGCGCACATCATGCCTCCCGATTGGAAATTGCTCTACCTTTACGGTGGCGACAAGTCAGTGTGCCCAAGTTTGCTTCACAAGCGTTGCTCGTGGTCATGCCTGACCATCCGGCCTCGTTTTCTGATTCCCGTGTGAAATTGCATTGTTAACCATCAGGTGCAGCCCCTGGGACTCAAGTCTGTGGACCGATTCAGATGACAGAGTACGTGGCGGTAAGAGCCAGTCCCATTTGCACTGCGAGTCACCGGAGAAGGCTGAGTTCTTCGGCAACTTGGACATCACCGCTCTGGGAGGAGCAGGATTTGCGTCGCAGAGGACACTCGGCACACTTGACCTAGACTTGAGTCAGTACGACGGGCTTGCTATCAGAGTCTTGAAGAGCGATTCCAAGAAGTACACAGTCACTATCAAGGATGAAATCCTTCCTCCGAGAGAGGATGGCCGCGACCAGAGCACCATCAGCTGGGAGTATGACTTTGTTCCCGAGGAGGGCGAAGTGAAGATCCCGTGGGAGCAGTTCAAGGCAACCTACAGAGGCAGGGACAAGCCTGATGCCAAGCCACTGGACATTGCCAACATCAAGAGAATCAGCTTCATGATGCGAAGGTAGGACGCAAGCCTGTTTGCGAAACAATCCCCCGGCTGTTGTTAACACCATCGCAGCTTCTTTGGCACCCAGTCAGGTGATTTCAGCTTCACCGTTGGCTACCTGGCGGCTTTCAGCAACCGTCGCGAGTCATCGGGCTCCGATGTCTCGTTCCAAAAGGAATATGTCGCTGCACCTGCACCGGCTAAGTCATCATCATGGTTGAGTTGGCTTTGCGGATGGGGAGATAAACGAGTTTAAGATGCTAAGGCGACTGCAAAGCTGTATGGCAAGGCGGGTAGGAAATCACTATTGTTATTTGACATCCCAAGAAATTTCATGGCGTCAGGGTAGGCAAGTGAATTTCATTCCATAAGGCTACATAGAGCTTTAAGCAATCTGGCCCAATACCTTGATCAAGTCAGCAGTAACACCCATGGCCGTGACATCGCCACCGGCACCTGCACCCTGGACGATGAGAGGGTTGCTGCCGTAACGTTCCGTGTAGAAGCTGATGATGTTGTCGCTACCCTTGAGGGCGGCGATGGGGTGAGATGCGTCGAACTGCTCTAGGCCAACCTTGACCTGCTTGCTGGCAACATCGATGCTGCCAACAAAGCGAACGACCTTGCCCTGCTTTTCCGCAGCAGCCTTGGTCTCCTCCATTTGACTGTCAAACTCGGGCAGTTTCTGAAGGAACTCGTCTCCACTCGAGCACGACTCGAGCTCTTTAGGAATCAAGCTCTGGACGGGGAACGAGGTGGGCGATTCGACGGGGAGTCCTGCCAGTCTGGCGAGAATGGTGAGCTTGCGGGCGACGTCGAGGCCGTTGAGGTCGTCTCTCGGGTCGGGCTCCGTGTAGCCCAGCTCCTTGGCCTTGGCCACCTCGGCAGACCACTTGCCGCCGGCGCCCGATGTCGGAGCGAAAGAGTTGAAGAGAAAGGACATGGTGCCGCTGAAGACACCCTCAATCTTGGTGACGCGGTCACCCGTGTCGACGAGGTCCTTGAGGGTCGAGATGACGGGCAGACCCGCGCCGACGGAAGATTCGTGGTAGACCTTGGCGCCGGAGGTCGAGGCCGCGTTGAAGATATCCTGCCACAGCTTATAAGAGCCAGAGAAGGCCTTCTTGTTCGGGGTCACGATGCTGATTCCCTTGCCGAGGAAGACGGGGTATGCGTCGGCGACATCCTGGGAGCTGGTGTTGTCGACTAAGACAACCTTGGCCGGGGCGGCGGCAAGGTAGTCGGCGAGCTGAGGGAGAGGGGGAGGGGCTTGCGAAGCGCGAGACAGTTCCTCGATGGCGCCGGCAAAAGGGGTAGGGGTGTACTTCGCATCGTACAGGGCCTTCTTGCTAGTCGAGATGTAGATCAAGTTGAGCTTCGGGGAGGGTCTGCGAGTGGCCAAGGCCTCGAGCTGGGACAGGAAGCACTTTCCGACACCACCAGCACCTGTAACACCCCGGTTGGTCAACCCAAGTTTGCTAACACGTGCAGTAGGAGGAAGAAAAGCCTTGAGGTTGTTTTGAGAGGTGAGCAATTCTTACCGATGATGGCGATGAAAACTTGCTTGGAGGAGGCCATTGTTACTTGCTTGATTGACTTTCGTCGATTGACTCAGATGTACTGGCAGAAGAGTATGTTATGCAAGTGTACGTTGGGAAATAGACTCATTTTCGAAGCCCCTCCGACCGCGGGGCAGCTCTTAGTGGGGTAAAA